AGAATTGGGCTCAATTGTCATGTTGTTAATGAAATCAACTGCATCTTCCAGCATACCAGAGCGTCCAAATAAATTTACCATTGCTGCACAATGGTCTAAACATGGTAATATATGATGCTCTTCTATCATTCTAGAGAAAATACAGTTTCCCTCACCAACCATTCTAGCTAAACCATATGCCGAAATCATACTCACAAAAGTACCTCTATTTGGTTTAAGTTCAGTATGACTCATGTCGTTAAACAGCTCAATTGCATCAACTGCGCGACCATGTATAACGTAACCAGCAATCAGTGTGTTCCAGGTGATTATATCTTTTGCCAACAAACTGTTGAATATGGTTCTGGAATACTTTATATTACCTGACTTGGCAAAAGTATCGATAAGAGAATTTGCAACTGACAATTCACAATCCAAATTTCTGCGCAACACACAACAGTGCAATTCCTTCACCTTTTTTGCTGCAATCAAATTGGCACAAGCAGGTAAAATGCTCAAAATGGTAAATGAATTTGGTTTTACACATAAAGATTGCATTTGTCGGAAAATCCCCAATGCTTTATCTTTGTTTCCGGTTAGCAAGTAGCCTGCTATAAGAGCATTCCAAGATGCTGTGTCCTGCTTGATATGTCCATCCTTCTCCATTCTTTGGAAAAGATCCATGGCCTGATCGTCATCTCCATTTTGCATGTAACCGGAAATCAACGTGTTCCATGTGATTACAGTTGGCTTCACATCTGACTCCCGCATTTTCCTAAAACGGTCGTGGGCTTTCCCACAATATCCAGCTTGGCAATATCCTCCGATCATTGAGTTCCAAGTGTACATATCTCTTGCTGACATCATGTCAAAGACTTGCCTAGCAGCCTCAACTTTAGCACATTTAGAGTACATATCAACTAGTGAATTTCCCACCAATAGATTTTCACCAAATCCAGCCTTCAACGCCCATGCATGCAATTCTCTCCCCTTCTTTAAATCTTTTAGAGAGGCGTACATAGAGAGCAAACTGATAAGTGTGACGTCATTTGGCTGAACCCTGGCCAAAAGCATTTTCTCAAAACATTCCAAAGCCTCAGTCTTTCGATTAAACTGAGCAAACCCAGAAATCAGACAAGTCCAAGTAAAAACATCTGGCAGTATCCCGCAACTTTGCATCTCTATCATCATTTCCATCACCACATCATATTTCCCCAACTGGCTATAGCTTGATATGAGTATATTCCAAGTCACCAAACTTGGCTCAAACCCTTCTTCACGCATTAACTCGAAGAATCTCCGAGCCTTCTCAAGCTCACCCTTTTGGCAGTACCCTGTTATGATTGAATTCCAAGAGACTGTATCCTTCAGCACCATACTATCAAAAAACCTTTTCGCCAAATCTGAAAACCCGCACTTTGCATAGACGGCCAAAATTGCATTATTCACGCGTAATTGAAAATTCATCCCACATTTTATCACAACGCCATGAATCAACCTCCCTGTTTCAACATCCCCACTATTCCCACATGCCTGTAAGATCTTTGGAAACAAAAATTCATCTGGAACAATACCATCTTCCATCATCATCAAGTAAAACAGCTCAACCACCTCATCCCATTTTCTCTCCCTCGTACACGCACCAATCATTGCCGACCACGCGTACAAATTCCTCTCAGACATTTCATCGAACATCTTGTATGCATCCTCAAGAGATCCACATTTCGCATACATGCCTACAATCTTGGTTTCAGTAAAAGGATCCAAGTCTTTCAGTAGATGTTTCATACGGGTATGAAGTTTACGGCCCAAATGAATTGACTGAGAATCAACGCAAGACTGGATTAGGTACGAGAAGGTTTTGGCACTTACCATGGACCCACACTGCGCTATAGAGTCCAGAGATGCTATGGCTTCAGTTAGGCGTCCATTTCTGCAGAGGTAGGTCAAGTGGGCATCCACAATAGTAAGGTGGGCGTTTCTGGGGATATATTTGAAAGGGAGCCTGGATTTTACAGGATTTTGTGAAATTTCAGGAAATTTGGGGGTTACAGTTTTGCATGGAAGGATTGTACCCTCCATTGGAGAGTGGTTTCTTGGTAAAGTCTGCTGTGCTTTGCAAGATGATTCAGAGCTGCAGAAGCTGGACAGCCACACAAAATGGAGAAGATTGTCTACAGTCGGTCGCGCAACGGGAGCTGCTTTGTCCAATAACAGAACGACACGTGCCGTCAACTGGGATCGATGGCCTGTACTGTTGGGCTTAGTGTCCAACGCTTCTGGAGAAAACCAATAAGAACTACGAAGAGGTCAATGGACTCCCGAACCTTTTGGGCCCAAAAGCGGCCCGTTTAAATTAAATTGCTTCGGCTTAACCATTTTTGCGTGGTCGAGCATTTTATTAATAGTAATCTCCGTAAATTATCGGATTGGCTCAAACGGAGCCAGGGTTATTCATTTGGGATTGAACTAAACTTTGTTCCAATATATATATATTTTTTTAAATGAGTGAAATGTCTCGAACTTGAACCTCTCACTAACACACTTTATAGCGCGCTCTGTATGTCTCCGTATCATCTAACCCAATATTCCATTTTAAGTGTTATTGCCAATTCACCACCACTCAGTTGCTTCCTCATGTTAGAAGAACTAAATCATACACACTGACAGATTACAAATTAAATCAGAACTTTTGTCAAAACAGTGGAAAATGTTGAAACATAAAATTGGTAGTCCCTTGTGCAAACCGAACGTCACTTGGAGCTTCACATACATTTTTTGAACAAAGAAGATAACAGGGAGTTATTTAGATTATTACGTTGAAACTAGATTTTGTGACCATCAACAATCAATCACATTTATAAGTGTGTTTGGATAGCAAATTTTTTCAAATAATAATAATATTTCGCTTGCATCATAAATATATTTCATAATCAAACTTTTCATATATATATTTTTTTGAAGTCGCCTTTTGATACTTTCAATCATATTTTTATCTCACATACATCATATCATAAAACGTAATTATTTTAAATAATATTCTATTCAAACACATTAACGCGTCCTCTTTGCTTTGCTGTTGGATTCAGAGTTTGAATTCGGAATCAATAACATATTTATTACTTGAATTGTTAGGTTGAACCAAGATCTTTGGGCTCAAAGCGTCCGTCACTAGTGAATCCAGCACCATCGATGAAGGAAAATTGCGGCCAGTTTCGTTGTGCGTATTGAGGCAATCGAGAGAGTAAAGTAGGCATTAGAACTTGTGAATAAACTGACGTAGACGAAACGAAATGGCGAGAGGGACAAACGGCGGATGTACGGTGCCTCTGTTTAGTTTCTCCAAATGGCAAAGGGAAGAGTGTAAAGTCAAATCAAGACTTAATTATATATAGAGAGGACGACATTGAGATGAACGATACTGCCCTGTGCGGTTTCTATTCCACGTCGATAAAATTGGAGGTTGGGGTTAGATTTATAAGTCTCTCACGGGACTCCCAAAGTTACTGGCTTTTGGAGTTACTGTGGGGAGTTAGGTTTATTTGTCGAAACTCTTACTTTCAGTAAGAAAATGTTAGAAAGAAAGTCATTCTCAGGGGTTTGGGGGGTCTTTATCTTCTAGCAGCAGGGCACCCTGTGGGGTTTCTATCCCACATCGGTAAAATTGGGGGTTGGGGTTAGATTTATAAGTCAGGGTCTTTATGTTCTAGCAGCAGGGCACCCTGTGGGGTTTCTATCCCACATCGGTAAAATTGGGGGTTGGGGTTAGATTTATAAGTCCCTCGCAGGACTCCCAAAGTTACCGGCTTTTGGAGTTACTGTGGGGAGTTAGGTTTATTTGTCGAAACTGGTGTGTTTGGACAGTTGAATAATGATTAAAAATTATTTATTTATATCACAAATATATTTTTTAATATATTTTTTTATTTCACATACATTACATCATAAAAAATATTACAGTAATTATTTCAATTAATATTCCAAATAACCTCTTATCCAAACACGCTTGAGCAGGCAACCATGGAACGGAGGTTTACCTAGAAAGAGGTAACGAGGTTTATTAATTGATCGTCAAGTTGATTCAAAAAAAACAAGATCGAGATCCAATTTTTGCTCTAAGACAGCAGTCCAGTGTCCGGTGATTCACACTAATCGAGCATAGGCCCGTTGTCTTAGGATTAGGCCTATTAATTATGTTCCTGAAAACTATCTTCCTTCGCCCAAAAAAAAGCCCAAAAATCTCAAACCTTTTTCTTTTAGCACAAAAATCTAAAAGGTAGCAAAATTCTTTTTCTAATTTCTCTTGCTAGTTTGTGTGCATGGTATCCTAATCCTAGTTTACTTAGTAAGTGAGTGATATTGATCTATATTATTAGAAGTTCAAGCATTACTCTATTATACATAGTAGAGTTATTAGTTAAACGAGCAAAAAATGTTCCACTTCTACATTAGGTATTCTTAAATGCTGCACTCCATGATGCATGCATACCTGTGAGTTACAAGTGACCATCTTATCAATTAAATAAAAATTTCTAGTTGAAACACTAAAATATACAACAATTGCAAATTTTGTCAAAGAAGTAGTTTGTTTCTTTTGTCTGCCTTAATACGCAGTATGGCCTTACTTAAACAAGTAATAATCCAAGTTTTTATCAACAATGCCCAAAGAATGCTTCCAACCAAGATCACATTTCAGGAATGTGATCATTCGTGTAATAACAAATCAGGGTTGTAGACAAGTACAGTAGATTACTGCTTTTGAAAGCATGAGGACGGCAACTTTCCACCTTGCATTGTAAATGCTGCTTTTCGTGATATGAATGTACAGAAAGTTTCTTTTTCCTTCAAAAAAAAAAAAAAAAAGAAGCTTGAGGAGCGGCCCTCAAATTTTGGTTTTTTTTTTTTAAGCTTTCAGTCCACAACATAAATGTCCCACAGGGATAAAAGTTAGCGCGGAGTTCAAAGCAATAACACCATGGTGAATCATAAGGACGGGATTTCTGACTTTCTTCCAATTCAAATCTTCCTCCTCTCATTCTTTACTAGCATTCAAACACTTGAATGGATAATATTTTAAGCTCAAGATTCATAATCCCCAATTAAATATTTGATTTCCAGCCCGTGTTTCTGTTTATGACGAAACAACCCCTGGCATTTAAGCAAGTTTTGCTGCATCATTATCTATGCATACTGCTAATTCAAACCACAATCTTTTTTTTTCAGCCCCTGATCTAAACTCAAAATGATTTTCGAAATTGCTGACGTACTAGTAATTCGTACGGTAATTATGAATAAGGGAAAAATGAGGAAGAAGAATCCAAGTTATGTACTCCTACAGGAGTAATAGAAGTGGTGCTCGCTGTCAATAGTTGGACACTCTGGCTTCTGCAGAGTGGCATTGATACTGGAAGATTACGAGTGTTCTCCTTCTGGACTTCCACACTTTCTTCTTCCACCCTCTCTCTCTTTCAAACTTCCCTCCTTATATGTACGAGTTTTCAGAAGACAAACAAGCAACAAGGATAGACTTCTTGAGAGCAAAGTTACAATGGAAACCGACTCAATTTCCAAAATGGTCATTTTCTTCTTCAGCATTGCTTTGTTAATGGGCGCTCAGCTAATCCAGTGCAGTGTCACTTATGATAAGAGGGCAATTATCATCAATGGGCACAGGAGAATTCTTCTCTCTGGCTCGATACATTATCCAAGAAGTACCCCTGAGGTACTTTCCATACTATTCTTGATTTTTTATTTGTGGATGCTGTGTTAAAGTTTGTCGCTTTCTTGTGATTTTAAATGGACAATGTTAATCTTTGTGAAGTATGATGATATGGGTTGTTTGCAGATGTGGGAAGATCTTGTAATCAAGGCTAAAAATGCTGGCTTGGATGTTATTGATACCTATGTTTTCTGGAATATCCATGAGCCTACCCAGGGAAATGTGAGTCTCCTAGATCTCCTTTTGCACTTTTATTCTTTTGCATTTTTGGACAGGAGTCGAGGACCTTTCTAATGCTTTAACAATTTTTTGCCTTTGAATCTTATTTAGTATAATTTTGAGGGAAGATATGATCTTGTACGCTTTCTAAAGACGGTGCAAAAAGTTGGACTCTATGTTCATTTACGCATTGGACCTTATGTCTGTGCAGAGTGGAACTTTGGGTAATTGATGCGGCCTTTATCTTTCCATTCTATCCTTTTTTTCGAAAACCTTGATTTTGTTGATGCTTCTTGCTTCATTATAATTAACTATTTTTTTTTTTCATGTTAAAGCTTCATTTTAGTGTTTTTTGTCCAATATTTTCTTCTTGAAGCTAATTGAACTTCATGAGCTCCTGACTTTTCTGATGCTCTTAATTCAGAGGATTTCCTGTTTGGTTGAAATATGTTCCTGGAATCAGCTTCAGAACAGATAATGAGCCCTTCAAGGTTTTATCAGCTAAACCATTCTTTATTTTTTATCTCCACTCTATAAAGCTTCATGACAATTTGATGTTTACTAATTTTTTAATTCCACGTAACTGAGAAATTTAATAATATATCGGTGTTTTTCTGCACTTAAATGGGAAGGTGATTCTAATTAGAACCTGTGAATGGAAAATGACAGGAAAGGTATCAACTACTAACTTATGGGTACTCATTGACACTCACTTTGTTTTTCTTGGGGTAAAGGTGGCAATGCAGAAGTTCAGCCAGAAAATTGTTGGGATGATGAAGAGTGAGGGCCTGTTTGAATCTCAGGGCGGTCCCATAATCCTATCTCAGGTAAATATCATGTAGGTCATGTGACATGATGTCCGAATGTTCTATTCATGTGTGGAGTCTGTACTTGGCAAATGCAAAAGCTGGAGAAGAAAACGGTCAGATATCATTTACAGCATTCAGGCTCATAGCATTGCTTTTCTACTTTGACTCTCATTTGTATAGATTGAGAACGAGTATGGAACAACAGAAAAAAGACTTGGAGCAGCTGGTTCGGCATACTTAAAGTGGGCTGCAGGAATGGCGATTGGATTAGATACTGGGGTTCCATGGGTCATGTGCAAACAAGATGATGCACCTGATCCAATTGTAAGTACTGCTTCAAGTGCACAGATGCTATAGGCCACCGTTTCTTCCTTTTTAACTCACTTTGATCCATGCACAGATAAATGCATGCAATGGTTTTTATTGCGACACATTTTTGCCCAATAAACCATATAAGCCCACAATGTGGACTGAGGCTTGGAGTGGCTGGTAATTGTTACTTAAGGAATCAGATCCATTGTAATTTGTTCATGATAAAAAGTATGTCCTGTTGTTCAGTTCATTGATTTGTGGTTTCTTCTTTTTCTCTAATTGAGAAAGGTTCACGCAATTTGGTGGGACAATAAGTCACCGCCCAGTCCAGGATCTGGCATTTGCAGTTGTTCGTTTCATACAAAGGGGTGGCTCATTTGTTAACTATTACATGGTAAGCGATTTTATCATGGATAAACTTGAATATATTTCGAATCTTACAAAGTTTACAGCTTGACTAATAAGCTTATGTAGCGTTTTAAGGTTCTTCTATCAATTCACATTAAGTCATTCACCCTTTTTGTGACAGTTCCATGGAGGGACAAACTATGGGCGCACTGCTGCTGGTCTTTTCGTTACAACCAGTTATGACTATGATGCTCCAATTGATGAATATGGTAAGTGGCAAATCTAATGCAATATTGTTATATAAGAAATTCAAACTTACGCAGGATGCATATTTTTAACAAGAAATACTTGACCCAGCAAAAATGTCAAGGACGATGAATGATTAGCAGTAATTTTGTATCTTTTTTTCATATCTCAATTACTTTTGAAGATATTATCTATGGTATTTGTCTTTTTAGTTGAACCTTTAAGCAACTCTTCAGGTCTGCTAAGGCAACCCAAGTATGGCCACTTGAAGGAGCTTCATACGGCTATTAAAATGTGTGAACCAGCTCTGGTTTCTTCAGATCCTGCTATTACTACTTTGGGAAGCTCTCAAGAGGTCATCCCTTATATGTACCTTTTATTTCTCATTTAAATAATAATATGCAAAATATGTTAACTTAGATCTTATTATTGTTTTTCTCTAACTTGTTCTTTCAGGCCCATGTATACTCTTCTGCCAAGGGTGGCTGTGCTGCCTTTCTCTCAAACTATGACAGCAATTCTGCTGCGAGGGTGACATTCAACAATATGCACTACAATCTTCCTCCTTGGTCCATCAGCATCCTTCCTGACTGCAAAAACGTTATCTTTAACACTGCAAAAGTGAGTGGAGTTTACTTTAAAATCAGCCTAAAGCAATCATCAAATTAACATATGTACCAAAATGTGTTTGGTTTAAAGTTCTGTCCATCTAAACCCACCAGAGAAGACATAATCAAACTAATTACTTTCTGACTCCCCTTTTTGAGCTGGCTGAATGGTGCTTTAGTTTTACTAAAATAGATCAATTTATGGCCATGAAGGTTGCAACTCAAACTTCACATATACAAATGTCACCAACGAACACTCAACCACACTCCTGGGAGACCTATGGTGAAGACATATCTTCTCTGGAAGACGGTTCAACTTTGACAGCTGTTGGACTTCTGGAGCAGCTGAATATCACAAGAGATAACACTGATTATTTGTGGTACATGACCAGGTAAATATAATCTTGATCACCTTTAAAACTACCTCCCCAAACTTTAATTCTCCATCTCATATGCTGCTTCGTGATTTCAACTATTAAGCAAAACTTCGGGAAGTACTCCTTGTATGGAATTACAATTTCATTGATATGAAAAGAGGATGGTAAAAACATGATAGTTGCTAATGCATGTTCATCATTAAGTACAAGTGTAGTCTTTCAAGACATTTTTGAGGTTTTCAAGTCATTATGAATGGTAATCTTTTGGATCCCCATCTCCAATGGGTCCAACTTAATAATACTTTTCTTCTTGCAATCCAGCATTGACATCAGTCCATCAGAGTCATTTTTTCGGGGAGGACAAAACCCAACTCTCTTTGTGCAGTCAAGAGGTCATGCAGTACATGTCTTTATAAATGGAAAGCTATCAGGTAATATGTCCAGGTTACTCTTAACCAGGACTCATGTTCTTTAACAGTAGATCTTAGCTGAAACCTTCTGCACTTCACTCCATTATACAGGATCAGCTTACGGTACACATCAGAGTATTAGTGTTAGATTCAATGGACCTGTAAACCTTCTAGCTGGAACGAATAGGATTGCCCTGCTGAGTATAGCTGTCGGACTACCAGTAAGTAGTTTCTCAATCAGTTTGCTTCAAATTGTAACTTGGTCTAAGACTTATCAAGAAGTCATGATTGACTAATTGAGCTCCATGGTCCTGGTGTTCTTCAAAACCAAAGGAAAGTCAATAGAACTCAACTTCTCTGCTTCATAAACAAGTAGACTTATCTATGATAAATAATGATGGCATTGTTGCATTACTTTGAAGAACAACGGCATACATTTTGAGAATTGGAACATAGGAATTCTGGGGCCAGTGGTGCTGCATGGTCTTGACCAAGGTCACAAAGAATTATCGTGGCAAAAATGGACCTACAAGGTAATTGCGACAGAGTAGGTCGTTTTTGTATATTCTTGTCAATGTGTCCTAAAATCCCTTTTTCTTACATAGGTTGGCTTGAAAGGAGAGTTAATGAATTTAGTCTCTCCAAATGGGGTCTCCTCTGTTGAATGGATACCTGGGTCATTGGTGGTCAATGGTCAGCAGCCTCTAAAATGGTACAAGGTAAAATATTAATAAATCACAGACTATGAAATGTTCAATAGGTGCTGACTGGAGGAACTTGAAGCTCATCTGACACTTGCAGGCTTACTTTGATGCTCCAATGGGGAATGAGCCCTTGGCCTTGGACATGAAAAGCATGGGTAAGGGTCAAGTATGGATCAATGGGCAAAGTATTGGAAGATATTGGATAACTAATGCAAATGGTAACTGTGGCACTTGCCAATATTCTGGAACATTCCGAGTTTCAAAATGTCAACTGGGCTGCGGTCAACCAACACAGCATTGGTAATATTCTGTCATTCCTATCATTTTATCTTTAGGTACTCCTTGAAAATAAGGTTAGTTTAACTTAAGAATAGGATGTAGTAAATGTTTCTCTTCACCTTTGAACTTGTCTATCAGGTACCATGTGCCCAGGTCCTGGTTGAAGCCATCCCAGAATTTGCTGGTGCTTTTTGAAGAAATAGGTGGAGATGCATCAAAAATATCTCTAGTGAAGAGAGCAACTACAAGTGTTTGTGCTAGTGCGCAAGAGCACCGCCCCACCATAGTAAATTGGCATATTGACAGCAATGGAGAGAGTGAAATGCTTCGCCAGGCCAAAATTCACCTGGAGTGTGCAGCAGGACAGACTATTTCAGGCATCAAGTTTGCAAGTTTCGGGACTCCTTCAGGAACATGTGGTGCCTATCAGCTAGGAACTTGCCATGCAAAAAATTCGCATGCAGTTATAGAAAAGGCACTTATACAAGACTCCTCTTTTTCACTATATGTTAACATATTCTCACATACTTCAAACCAAATTTGCCAGCGAGATATTTATACTGATGAAGTTGCAATCTTGCAGATGTGCCTTGGGCAAGAAAATTGCAGGGCCACGGTCTCTGACAATTTCTTTGGGTCTGATCCGTGCCCAAATCAGTTGAAGAGATTATCTGTTGAAGCAATTTGTTCAACCTCAGTTTCCAAATTTTCAGATTCCATTATGGGGTGAGTGGTGGTAGATTGTAAAGAATATGGATAGCAGTATAATGAAGATTATTCACGTAGAAGAGGAACGAAGGGAGGAAAGAAGCAGTGCTGCTGAAGGTGGATAAGGAAGAGTTTTGACTTTCCGGATTGACAAATTGATGGACAGTCTTGAACCATGGCCTTCAGTTGCTCCGAAGTTCACTGTATCCCAATTGTCCATAGTTTTGGAGAGTTCATTAATTTTGGAGGGTAGGCAGGAACGAGCGATAACTTGTTCAAATAAGCCATCAATTCCAAGTGTAATTATTCTCCAGCAGTTTTGAGCCTAGTTGATAGTCGTTTAAGATCTCCTTCCTCAAATTTAAGTCATCTGAAAATTTTCAGTGTTGCAACTTACAACAATATTCCGAGCCTCAAGAAAATGAAGTAATCCAGAAAATGTCGTATACTGATTTTAGTAGCTGATCTGTCTAATTCATCGGGAAACGGCTAAGAGGACCCTTTGTGCCGATAGTTGGCACTTTTTTGTTGTGCAAGGCTGTTATGAGCTTTAATTCTCTTCATTATCTTATGGCCAAGACCAAGGATGATCCCCTTTCCCTCTTCATTTGAGGCGTTTGGTTTGATTATAATTGAGGCCTTCAAAGGTGAGCTCCATTCATCGTCTGCCCACGGCCATTCCCAGCCAACTATTTACATTTTGTAGCTCGGGGGTTCCAGAATCCAGAGTGAAGGGTGCAAATTACTTGGTAGGGCAATTTTTCTCTAGACTATGTCGGAGAACTATGCATAAGAGTTACCAGTTAGAACACAATGACCTCTCGAGGAAGTTCGGATCAGAGGGACAAAAGCTGATGAGAATAAGGATTAAGGAGAGTAGATTACTAGATAAACGAGGAATTTGATTATTTATAGAAAAGTAACATCTAGCAGATACTGGATGAAAACCATGGAAAAGTAAACACACAACCACATCCACTACATCTAGAAATTTATAACATCCTTGCTACGACAATCACTGACGGATAAAGTTCTTTATTAAAAAGTTTGTTTCCATGGTGAATCAAACTGAAACAGAAGCAGTAGTAGCAGCAGCAGCAGGAGTAGCAGTATCAGCAGCAGTAGCATGCTTGGTAATAACTTGCAGAAGTTCATCTTTCTTTGCACCGACAAATTTGTCCACAATGTTTCCATCCCTGAAGAAGATGAACGTCGGCATTGCCTCCACTTCATATTTCTCAGCAACAGTCTGCACATGCAATTAAAAATTCAGCCAAGAAATCCACTAAAGAAAGAGAAAAATCGCTAATCCACTCAGTAAGCTAAGCTGTTTATTTTTTAAAAAAATATTAGTACGATAACACGCAATTAGAAAGAGAAATCCACCTTCAGTTCATCCACATCTACTTTGAGAAAGATGACATGGGGAAGCTTCTTGGCAAACTCTGCTAGAATTGGAGCAATGAAACGGCAAGGTCCACACCATGAAGCTGTAAAATCCACCACAACCTATAAAAAGGTTCAAGTCATGGTACATATTAGAACCTTGAAGTAGTGCCAGAAGATTAATGCATAAAAGATGCAGTAATCGGTAAAACACATGGAAGGTACTCAATATAGCTGATACAACGTAGACCTTTACCAACAGCAAACTGCAGTATCCTGCTAGCTCAAGAAGAATACAGGTTTCAACTTTTCATGCACACAAAACATGTAGAATTTAGAAGAGTAGTCAAGAACCTCAAGTTATCACAATTGCTTCAGGTTAAAATCATTAAAAGCATCCATAAGAACCAGTCTCATTCCCCCCTCGGGCATGAAAAATTATACTCCATAGGTATGACCGATCCCACCTCTGTTAATTTGCTGTTGTCGTATGAGAAGGTATTCTATCTCTCCGGAACAGACGCATTTTTACTAGATATGAAGGTCAGTAAGTGGAGAACCAAATCAGAGCACAAGAAACACAAGACAAAGGAAAAGACACATACTACTAAGCTCAGTTAACAGTAATATTTTGGTTAAATCACTTAGCTTTCAAAATTCATTTCATGCTAACAAACAAACCTGGTCTGAAGCATCATAAGCCAGGATTTCGCAAATGATTGGATTTAAGCCAGGATTTTGCAAAACATTAAACTTAAACCACAACTACAGAAGGAAACAACGCAGAGACATCCCTGCATATAGCATACTATGAGCAAGTAACTCGACCCAAAGCCAAAAAACTACTACATCAACTCCACCACACCCTCTCGCAAAGAAAAAAGAAAAAATCTTTGGGGCAAGCTCACATCTTTACACAACAAAATATGCACCTAGCAAAACTTACCATCTTCAAAAATAAAAAACCAAACGAAGAAAAACAACAATCGAGAGAAAGAATCAACAACCAAAATTTAAGGAATTAACACCAAAAGAACAAACTTATTAAGGGCGACAATTTCCCGAAAAAAAAAAAAAAAAGGCATATAATCAAGAAGCCCCAAAGCTTATAGTAATATAGCATACCAGCTTCTTGGATTCAACGCCCTTGGTGAAATGCTCATTCCATTGATCAACGCTGTGGCAACCGATCACTTGTCCCTCTTCTGCTGCCATTGTTTACTCCACTCTTGGAATCACAGAAAACCCACAAAAAGATTTCTACTTGGTCTGTTTTGTCTCTTGCTTTCTTGGAACGCTAATGCTTTTTTCCCAACGCCAAACCGGCCTTCTTATAGAGGGGGGGAAAACAGGGACGGTTATGCATTTATTATTGTAGTATTATCGTGCGAGGAAATATTGCGGAAAATCCTATTAAGTATTGCTGTATTTACTACTATAGTATGCTAGAAGGAAAAGAAAATGACAATAATACTTAGTATTGTGTATTGGTGGTAATGCACGTATTGTAAGACTACTGCTGACCTAATTGCTTACTGCAATTTGCAAACTAGTACCTTATGACAGGTGGTGGGATGTCATCCAATTTTCTTTCTTGCAACCTACTTAACGTCACATGTGTAAAGGCCAAAATGGTCTTCGTATCTCTACATAGAATGAATTAATGATGAGTAGGCTGATTGTTTGTGGGATTATACCTCGGATAGGACTTTTCTACAGGCATGCATCAGCAGCGGGATTAAATGTATGTCATATGTATTAAAAAAAAAATTGAGAGTCTAAATTGAGATTTTTTTTAGATATTTTATGCATCCAAATTCGTGTATATACATATTAGTTGTGTTTAAATAGAAGATTATTTGATATAATTATTGTAATATTTTTATTTTTTTTTTGTAATATGATTCGTGTAAAATAATAAATAATAAAATTTTTAAAAAAATATATATTTGTAATGCAAGTAAAATAATATTTTAAATAATTATAATATCCAGACACACCCCCTAATTTATCTATTAGTATAGCAAAGATTTTACACATAATCAATTTATTAATTGCTTGTTTGCAAAGCAATGACTAAGGGATGTTCTCATTGTAAGAAAATATGACGACATGGTGACGTTTGGTCACATTACAGCAAATAAATGAATTTAAATTTCTCTTATGTGACATTTGTTTAATTATAATGATGTATAATACACGATCAATAACGATCATCATGCTTAACCAAAATCGATAGGGAGGGTAAACTTGATTAAATCAGAACAATAAAGTTTGAAGAAGCGACGAGAAAATTCTAGAACCCGAAACTAAGAGGGAAGCAAGTGTAGTCATGCACCCCTAAAAAGAAAACAAAAAAGTGAAAAAAGGAAGAAAGAAAAAGGAGGACACGTGCATCGCCTTGGTTGGTTTGAGTGGAGTGTGTGGTTTGGAGAGCAGCGAGTGTGAAACACAGGCGGTATCCGGAAATTGTCCACATGGAAATTGTCTGGACTGACTCTGGAATCAAGAAGAGCCATCCATTTTTTTTTCGGACGGTCGGCAATGGATGACCTTCCCCATTGCATACTCATGATGATGGCTCATGCGTTGCGTTGCGTACCCAATGATATTGCAAACCCCCGCTGGCAGGTCACAAGGGTGGAACTTAAGTCCCTTCGACGGTAGGCAAGGGTTCAAATTTTACTTACAATAAAAAAAAAATTTAAAAATAATGTCATAACATTCCTTTGATTTAGTTGGGTTGTATACCCTTAGGCTTCCCCTCTACTATAGCCTCCTTAGGCTCCTCCTCCTCCCTAGATTAGGATAGAGTAAGTTATACAAATATATCGTTGCTGAAAAAAAAAAATATTGCAAACCCATATATGAACATCCAAGAAGCAAATACTTTTTTTTTTTTTGGTCATTCATCGCTATTTTTATCTATATCATACTCTATCCTAATCTATCTAAGAAAAGGCTCAACTGAACCTATGGGTGACAGGTGAAGACTGAATCACCACCGGATCAAACGGATGCACTACGCACCCGTCTGAATTTTTTAAAAGGGCCACTACGAAAATGTTGGATTATTTTCTTGTAATGCACCGGTTTTGTTCCCCAAATTTTACACTTAATCACAAGGCAATGAAGCTGATGATAACAATATTGATTTTCTTTTTTTTTTTTGACAAGAATATTGATTTTAATTACCATGTTTACATTTTTCAAATCCTCAAATTTTTTTTTTTGGGTTTAAAGGAAACTCTAAAAACTGATTGAGAGGAAGGAAAAAGTAGGAAAAAAATTGGATGACCTCATCAACTGTTTCATTAATATCATCATTGCCAGTTAAATCAGCGACAATTTCTCATCTTTCTGGGACACGGACAGCTTGTCATCTTCGTCACGACTCGCGGGTCTTTGTCACAGGGCCGCGGATAGGGCATGGAAGCCCAGGACTTGGAACAGCCCATTGATGTGAAAGTAGTGGGCTAACTACTGCCACCATTTTCCGGACGGTGAGTAGCCCAACTAAACTAAAGTTCAGGAAAAGTATCTGACAGAGCTCCTGTCCAAGCCCAGGCTGGTGCAAGCCTGTTAGTCCAAATGGTAAAAGAAGCCTGACAACGTCTTGAGAAGGAATAAACTTTTGACCAAAAAATAATAATAATAATAAATAAATAAATAAGAGAAGGAATAAACTCTTGGAAACATACGCGTTTGTATAAATGATTGTTTGGAAAAAAAATTACTATTTTGAATAATGTTGCAGTAATTTTGGAATGTGATTGATACATGTGAAGTAAAAAAAAAAAGTACTGATTTAATTGAGAAGGTAAAAATTGATTGAAAAATATATTTATAATACGAGTAAAATAATATTTATGAAATAAAAAAATAATGCAGCATTCAATCTATCTTATTCACCTCTTTAGTGAGTCGTAGTTATATGCGACGTCTGTGGATCCCCATTCCACATCCCTATCTTATTAGTGGAATTTATGCCACTTTGAAGTTTGCAAAACCATAAATTTACGAGTGAAATCTCCACCAAGCAAGTTTTTGCATTTCTTCCCTGCCCCAAGAAATGAAGAGCTGCAAAAATCTGAACACAAATCTGCTTAGATTTTTTTTTGACTTGAGAAGGTTGAGGAAAATGACGGAAATGAACTCTCGAGTCAATGGACAGGCCAAACCTTCCAAACCATTCACTTCTGAATCTTGTTCTCTTCCCTCGCAGAAAAAAAAAAATTGAATACTCCAAACATTCATTCTTAATTTTTTTTTCAGACTTTTAAAATTAGTTAATTAAACCTAATTCCAGATTTAATCCCAAAAGCCGACAACTCTTGCGGCAAACCTGAAGACTTAACTACTCAATCCCCCAACCCGAAGAAACGACGTGAGACTACGAAAAAATTAATAAAACATACTCTGTTAGACCTCATAGAAGAACCCACTACTCCAGATACCTCCCTGCGTCTTTGTCTTCTATTCATTCTCATTAAAAAAAAAACGCCGCATTCATTCTCATTAGTGCAGCGTTTTTTCCAGTTCTCCTCTTATGATAAATTAATAATAATAAAAAAGAAAATTTCCAAAGTGTCCAATTAAAATTGCACGTGCCCCACAAGGTCCGGATAAATGCAATTTCCACGTGTAATCTTCTAAACCACAGCCCAGACATACCCCACCACAACACAAAATCTCAATTCCCCTGATTCGTATTCTCTCCTCCCGTTATTATTAGGGATAATTTCAGAAACCTCCCTTCAGGTTTCTTATAATATCACTCCAGAAGTTTTGAAAATCTCACTTACCTTCCTTATATTGACATTTCTTATAACATTTTAACTCCTTTGTAGAAAATAGAGGAAAAATAAGACTTTTGTTTCAATACTACCCTTATATTATCCTACTTATGGAATTTATAACAACAACAAAAAATAAAACAAGGTTAAATTTTTATAAGGTGTAAAATTCTTGATATAAGCTATTTATTTTAGTTGTATTGAAATAAAAGCAAAATTTATACATTGAAAAATCCACACGTATGAAGAGATTATTTTAATTTTTAATATAACTTAAACTACACCATGAATTAAAACATATTTTTCCAAAAAAATTCTTGACTTCCTTAATTGTAACCGTGCATGAAATTTTTTTAAGGTATTATTTACTCTCTAAAATTCTCCTAAGTGGTTGATCTTGATTAAATTTAATTTATGCATATCCTTTGCTATTCTACCATGACTTCAATGTAAACAAATATGGACCATTATTAACTAGCAATTTTTTTAATTTACATTTTTTGCTTTTAAAATCTTATTTTGCTTTGACTTTTTGGTTAAAAAGTTAATAAGAGCAATGGTAATGATGTTAATTTATGATATTTGATAGGAATCTTTAGTCTTGTCAAGTTGATAATGGAGATAAGTGAGATTTTTAAAAATTTAAAGGGAGGTGAGTGATATTATAACAAACTTCAAGGGAGGTTTCTGAAATTATCCCTTATTATTTTCCCCACCTCACATCTCAGCTCCCACTCAATACCTCAATTCCACCACCATCACCTTCCTGCATTTGATTAGATTAAAGCCACAGTTTTTATGCTTTTCTCATTCCCTTTTTTCCTTTGTTGTCTGAGGCTCTGAACTCCGAGCTCAGTCACTAACTACTCAGTACTGCTACTACTCTACCATGCCAATCAACAATTTTTCTTCTCCTAATTACTACTCCTACTATTATTCTCGTCGCAATTCTATTTCCATGCCTTCTTCTCTTCTCATTTTCTAACTTTTGTTCCTCTTTTTTACTTCTTTTCTTTTGATAGGAAGAAAAAAAAAGCTTAGCTTCCAAAAATATATTTCCAATATGGCTCTGCCTCAAATCTTGCCATCCACTTCTTCTTCAATAATCCCAAGCAAATCCCACTTAAACCCCCCTGCTAATTCCCACTTAAACCATCCCCTTAAACCCTTCGTTTCTTCCCCATCAGCACCACCGCCACTTCACCACCGCCAGTGGCGGCGCAGACCCAATCTCCTCCGCTGCTCTGCCTCCTCATTCTCCGAGAAACATCACACCAACTCCCCCAAATCCGACGACGTTGTCGAGCTCCCGCTCTTCCCTCTCCCTCTCGTCCTCTTTCCCGGCGCAATCCTCCCTCTTCAGATCTTCGAGTTCCGCTACAGGATCATGATGCATACCCTCCTTCAGACTGACCTCCGTTTCGGCGTGATTTACGCCGATGCCGCCACCGGCACCGCCGACGTGGGCTGCGTCGGGGAGGTCGTCAAACACGAGCGTCTCGTCGACGACCGGTTCTTCTTGATCTGTAAAGGCCAAGAAAGGTTCCGGGTAACGAAACTGCTTCGGACTAAACCATATTTGGTCGCCGAGGTGACGTGGCTGGAGGACCGCCCGTCGGCCAATGGGGACGAAGACTTGAACTCCTTAGCTAACGAAGTCGAGACTTACATGAAGGATGTGATACGTTTATCCAACAGGCTCAACGGGAAGCCCGAAAAGGAGGTCCAAGATTTGCGGAGGAATCTGTTTCCGACGCCGTTTTCGTTTTTTGTGGGGTCGACGTTTGAAGGGGCGCCCAGGGAACAGCAGGCGTTGCTGGAGTTGGAGGACACGGCCACGAGATTGAAGAGGGAGAAGGAGACTTTGAGGAATACTTTGAATTATTTAACCGCGGCTTCTGCGGTAAAGGACGTTTTTCCATCATCTTGAAAATGTCGAACTTTATACGATTATTATGAAGAATTATATGTTATGGATATTGTAAATGTTGATAGATGGATGCAGAATTACTATAATGGGCAGCTTTCAAATTTTTTCTTTAGCTAATCAGATTAATGCAATGCAACATAGTAAATGAATATGAGTCGAAACCGTAAAGTGGTAGAATAATACTAATAATAATAATAAGCAGAAAAGAACTTGAGAAACTTTATCCGTTTTTCTTCCCCATAGTAAAGCTGGGATTTTTTCCCCCTGTTAACAATTATCTTGGATTGTTTGCTTGGTTTGTATCTAATCAACATGTCTTTGGATTGTGGTACTGAGTCTGTGTGATATGTGATAGCTAGTGGTGTCTTGTAATCGTGAATTTCATGAGGAACTGCTGATTGGCAATTGAATTCTTCTTATTATATTGCATGTTTCGAGTAGTCTAGCAGGGGAGCAAGTGAAGAATACAGGAACTAGAGTAACTAGACTTTCAATACATGATGGAAGTGGATGAGATAGTTTGAAGGAATCCTAAAGTTTGTTTTCTGTGCCTTTTGTGGGATTGCAGATGTCTTTTTCTTATGATAAGCACAAGTAGTGATTGATGGTAGCTTTTTGTTGATTGTGATGAGTGAGATGATCGTGGAGATAGGAACATCCCAAGGTGATTTTCTAGTATTATTGCTGTTGGTTTATGCCACTATGTTGTGCTAATTTTGCTTAGAAACATTTTACATGCAATTGGTGCAAGTGACGGTGATACGCCAAACAATCAGCTCCAGTAAGGCAGTTGAGCTTTGTTTTACAATTATATTGTGCTCTGGCCTGTGTGATTGAGCATTCGAGAAAAAGTTTGCTGTGACCTTTAAATGTGGAAAATCTAGTTGCTATAAATCTTTGGAACTCCTGACTTTTTAAGACTTTCTCTCAAAGCATACGAAGCATTTGCACTCATTTATTTATTTAGGAATTCTCCAGCAGTCAAGCTTGATGTTCCCTTTTATATTATGCTTCTGATGGTTCCACCTTTTTTTTTTTTTGCCCTTTTGGAGGCTTTTTATTCATGGCTCTATTGCTTAGAACGGTTGTGCATCAGATTTTCTGTTCTGTAATCTGTAATAACATTGGTCTTTCAACATGCTGAGAGTCTTCAAACACTCTTTCAAATCCTCTGAGGTTTCTGTTGGAAATGTGGAGAACATTTGTCACAACAGAGCTTCCACACAGAGCGTCGTGGCAGGACCGTTATTTGGAACTAGCAGATGCCATGGTGGAACTTTTCGGCACAATAGAGCCCCTTCTGTTGCGCACGGTGTTGTGGTGGAACCATCTATCATTTTATTGGAACCAAGCAGATTTCTTGTGCAATAATTTCAAACTGAAACTACTACAGTGTGCTCGTCAATATCATCCTCTGTGAAGGTGTAGGTGGGACTTTTATTTGCGGGTCGTGGTCCTTCATGGTGTTCCCTTGTTGTCCCAGTAATTGTGTGTTTCTCTTTTTCCAAATTTTAATGAGATTTGCTCGTATAAAGATTCAGGAGATAGATCCATGGAACATTATTATTATTCTCTTTTCCTCGAGATATCACCGTTTCTGACTGGTATTTGAAGGTTTTCTGTGTGTGCACCTTCCCATATCGTAGCTCTACAATTTAAACTGCTTAAGAGAGATCCCAAAAAGTTACGTAGCATGCACATAGTTTAGCAAACTGGGAGATTTGTTGCGCATACAAAGGGGCTATGCCAACTCCTGACTTAAAGACAGATTGTTCAAAATTGTTTAGTGTGAGGGTTTGTTTATGACGAAGTAACAGCTTCCCGTACAGTAGAACAGATTGGAAGATGCAGAAAAGTTGTGGCAGACGTGTTAGCGCCATTCACCCCAGGAACACAATTGGTTTAAACTTGGAAGTTACTGGTGAAATCCAGGAAAATTCCTTATCTAGTGGCATAAGACCTATCACAATGCTCCTTTAAAGACCTCATCAATACCTATCACAAGAAGAAAAGATTAAGGAATGACAATTACGTTACAGATCCCAGACATTCTTGTCATTGCCAAAGATACCACACTCGATCTTAACCATATAATATCTTGTAAACAAAACATATTGACAACCAAAGCCAGATGCCATGTGTTGGCAGCGTACGACATCAATAGGAGAAGCAGATGCATTTCAAGGCAACAAGATTATACACAGATGAAGCTCCCAACAAACTAAACTCAAATCTCGCGGATGAAATCCATTCTATTTTACAGTACCAGAGCGAAATCAGGAGCTTCTTATATGAGGAGCAACAAATGACGAGCACCAATTCTACTCAAGATTCAGTGGTAAATACAGCTATACTTCAGTATGTAGAACATTATGCAACTTCAAAGTAATCCAGTACACATTTATGAAAAGCTCATATCTGGTACTGATACATGCTACAAGAAGGCACTATTAGACTACTTCTAGTTCGCAAAGAGGGAACTCCAATCACCAAATTTTCCGGAACGGCCTCCATTCTTAAGCTGTTTAACCAACGTGGAATTCCCCATTCTCTGCAATCACATTTACACCTCTGTCAGATGAATCAAAGAATAAAACTACAGCGAATCATCATGTCAGGCATTGCAAATAAGATGGATGCTGCTTTACAGCATGATAAAGCTGCTGCTATCGAACAATATGCAATGAAGAAGGTAAACTTAGAGCAATCAAAAAGTGTCAGTACCAATGATTATGGTGGCAGTAAAGAAAGGGACAGGATTTTATCACAAGTATGAACATTTGATATGGCCAGGAGACATCGAAAAACACAGAAGTGTAATCAATGCCCATGCTACCAAAGGGTGCGACAGTTGCACAACAAAGTAGCTTCAACTGTACTCAAAGATTTCAACTAAATGAAATGGGTTGCAATGACATAATTGAATAATGAACCGGATGACGTCGATCTGGGAATGAGTTATTGAGCAAAACTTGAGAATCTCAAGTTAATGATCCACAATAGCTAAGCAGACTTGTTCATCCATTGAGAAAAGTTCAAAAAACTCTCTCCAAGCCTTTAATTTTCTAGCATTCTGCTGCTAATGAATTCAAGGCCTCATCAACCGGATTCTATATGGATGACAGCGTTGCCTATTCTGCTTTAGTGGATACTAAGCCAGGACACCTGTACTCATTTTAAGCAAGTGGATATGATGAATTTAAAACGTACCCTCAGACACAAATTCCTTTTGGTGTCACAAATTGGATAATCATGAGGGCAACAGTGAAGACGGTCCTTACAGCAGACAGCAGAATCCAGATCACAACACTTCCATGACAAGCATAAACCCAGAAATTCCATTGAACAGCAGCAGGTTTCACCTGCAGGGCAGGAGGAGAAGAGGCTACATTTTGTGGGACCTGGAGGAGGGGATGGTGGAGGATTGAGGCTACTTTTAGTAGGATAGGATGCCATCATGTTAATCCCACATACACCTGCTGAATTGCCAGAATTTCGAATTATGTGAATATAACCATTTATTCCCCAACTCGTTCCCCATGAATTCTTCACGATCCAGTAATCCGCGCCATTTTTAGAATCATAACCAACAATCAAAACAGCATGGTCCAAAGAGGTAGAGCATGGCCCTGTAAATATCCCCTGCAACATAGTTTTAGAACAGATTATAATTTGGTTTCACCTGGAATTTAGTAAAATGTGATGGAATTTGATAGAAGCACCAACCCCAGAGTATAACTGAAATCCTCTTTCACTGCCACATATCCCAACACTCACAGGTTGTGCTGCTACAGCTTGTAGAAGCTCTTGCTCATTATTTGCTGGTACATCTATGTAACCATCTATACTCACAACACGTCTTTTCAACTGAAATGGTGAATAACAACTGGTTGTCAAGCTAGCTTTGGATGTCAGAAGATGTATGAGAAATTCTAAACTCAAGATCAGATAGAATGCAGAAACTAGAAACCTTGTTACTGTTGCATGTCCCGTCCCGACCTTTAAAAGGGTAATCCTGTTCAGTGTCAATTCCACCATTTTTTACAACAAATTCATAGGTATAGTCCATGAGTCCACCATTGCAGCCATTGTTATAAGATCTATCACAGTCAATTAACTCCTGTTCTGACAGGCTTACTAAAGATCCAGTGACAATCTCATTGATACCTTCAATTGCACCGGTAGCTGAAAATGCCCAACATGCACCTAAATAACATAACTAAGAAGTGAGCAGGACTATGGCAGTTGATAGGTAAGAAGATCAATTGGAGTTCCCTCAAGTAAAAATCAAAAGATAAGGCAGAAATTCTCATCCTTAATCACAAATTCTAAAATTGGAAATTGAAGCTACCACTACTTTATGTACATTTTGTCTAGCCAAAACTTCTCAAGAATCAGAAGACATGGAATTCAAGATCCGAATTCAGAGAAAGCTCTTAGTCATCATCAGTGCAATACCCAGTTAAATTTTTTCACCAGCCAAATGAAGTTCCAACTTTCTAGACAAAGAATAAAACTTTGCTGAAAAGCTTGAGGTACAGATCAGGAGTTACTCTGACAATTCCTACAGAGTTGCTACTTAGGTCACTTCCGTCCACTTCTTTCATACTAGATCTGTTTGTTTAGTTGCTACTTAGATCTAGATTAGTACTTCGTCTTTTTTATCATTCTGGAAAAGGCTAACCGCTCTCCACATATACACAGACTTCGACCAACAAACTAAGTACAGGTGATCAACAAATCAAATACCAAATGAAGTCAAAGGTACCGTGCATAGACTAGTAAATTGAAAAAAAAAAAAAAAAAACATAAGCATACCATCTTCAAACAACCCCATAATTTTAGATAAAGAGATAAAGACTGAAACTTTGTATCTCAACAAGATCATGATAAGATGAACACAACTCTGGATATATGGGAAAGAAAAAACTATACAAGAAGAAACAATCACATACCACAGCTTCCCTGGTCTTTGACATTGGTGACAGCTCCTTTATTCCTCCAATCCAGGGATGAAGGGATATCATATTTACCAACAGCACCAGAAGCTCCAATTGATGATGACCCACGATTCAATCTAATTAAACCATCGGCAGAAGCCGAGAAACCCAAATACTTAGCTTTGAACTCATGGTGAGTGAGATCGGCAAAGGCGTTGAGGGAGAGGGTGTATGTGGAATTTGCCAAACTGTTATGTTTTGTAACATAGTCATAGTTGTCTTCAAAGACTCTGAGTCTGTACTGTTTTTCTTCCTCCGAAGGATAAGTCTTCCCATGTTGTTTGCACCAATTCTCAAAAAGATCAGCTGTGAGTGAAGATTTGCATATGGGCGGATGAAATACTAGCAAAACAACCGTCAAATACGACCAAAACCAACTCATTCTTCTATTTTGGGAAGAATGATGGAAGGAATTAAGATTGTGATTTTCTCAGTTCTTGAGTTTGGAGACACTAACGATTGATTCTCCTCGGAATGTGGTGGAACCAAGGAGCTGGAGAAACATGCGCCTTTTTATTATTGGTTGGATTTTTGTGCCTAGGAAATTTCCAAGTTTGCCGCGACCAGCAGGGACATAAGGGGATGACCACACACAAGTGTACAGCAGTTAACTGTACCGATCAGTCGAAGTCAATTGGTCGAATCCAATCATGGACCTTTTTTTCTTCGTTCGTGGTAATTAATGCTAACAAATGATTCCCTCATTTTGCCCTCATTTTGGTGGTTGCTCAATTAAACACGTCTTTCTCGTCGGGCACCCAATAAAGAAAAAATTATCTATCGAGCGAACCATCATGTATTAAATCTAGATAATATGACTTTTCAGTTTTTCTGCTGCTCGAGAAGTTACTAGGTGTTTTTCCTTCTTCTGTCTCCACCTACCCATTACCCAGTGTTTTGTCTTCTTTTCTAGTTGTTACCATACACACCACACGGCTGGAATAACTCAAAACTTGCGCCTAAAATTGAATGCTATATCAATTAGCATTTACATTTACCTTAAAATTTCAACCAACCAACCAAGTTAATATGATTGATTTTCCTATAGTTTCTGAGAATTTTATGGCCCTATAGGTTTTCATATGGTAAGTTCCTTTCATTTTTGTTTCTTCTCTTAGGTGATCTTTTTGCCTTCCACTAATATCACCTCGCTCATAGATGCCATTGACTTCAATGGAAGTGGAACGAAGTAAAAGAAGAAATGGAGAACCTGCAACCAGCTAAAGTTGCCGAAGGCCATACTGGCAGTACAAAAGTCATTAGCTAGCATAGAAAATATATCTGACTGACTTTCTTTTACTGCGATTTTCACCATTCTAACATGTTGAAAGTTTGTGGAGCATGGCATGGCATGATAAATATGTTAAGGCAAAACCTGAATGTGTTACAATCTAGAACCTATTTGCCTCATCAAAAGCTATGGTTTTGTTTTTTCCCCCTCATATTCGTGTGCTGATATTTTCGCATTTCACTGTCTTATTTGATAATCCAATTTAATATTTAAATTTAATATTCACATCTTGATATGTTCAAATGTATTTGATAATAACAAATATAAAGTCTTAATTAATTAAATGGCTCTAAATTGTTTAAGCAAACCTCACTTAAATAAAAAAATAAAACGTCTTAATTAATTAAATGCCTCTAAATTATTTAGACAAAACTTACTTAAAACAACAAGTGATAAGTTGTTTATTTATCATTTAACGCACAATACTCTCAAATATTAATATTTCAATACTTAATAATTTAGTAACTTAACAATTTCAAATTTCAAATTATAGATTTCAGTTTTTATCAAATGCATCTTCAGTCACAGCCAACTAAACAATCATACTGAGTCCACAGGTGTCTTCACATGACATGAGGGGCTTGTCCAAGGCTATCATACTCTATTTTATTTATTTATTTATTTGTTTTTATTGGACACTCTTAACCTTGAGAGAGATGGTTGAACTTATCTATATTACGACGCTGTGAAATTAGAGTTCTCATAAGATGTACATAAAAATATTTTGAACAAAAATACAAGTGCTCAAAACTTTGGTTCGATAAAGAAATGTAGTGAAAGAGATAGAAGAAATAGAACGAATAGAACCTCAAAATCAACAAACAGAAGAACGAAAAAAGAAAAATCCCTTTTTTCCTTTCAAGAAGAACAAAATAAGGTCATTTCATTGCGAAGGTGGCTAGAAATCGTCCAACACACACAATTGGAAACTAAAATAAAAAATGAAAAAAATTATGGATGACACTAAAGCCCAATTGCCCACGAAAAAATTTAGGGGAATCTAAAGTTCATGGGCTATTTTGTAACAATCCAATGTCTAAATTAATCATCTGGGCTCTTTCAAGGGACATTTATTTGCCCAATGGTAAGGAAAAACCACTTAACCAGCAAGGAGGGGATACGATGCAAAACAGCAAATTTGATTTTCTTTTATTAATGGGATAATTTCACAAACCTCCCCTAAACTTGTTCAATCATCCTCGTCAAAATCATACCAGTCACAAAAATGGTGACAAATTTCTCCCTCAGTTGGTGCCTTTCTATAATGGGCTATTGATCAGCTTAATTAGACATCAAATTTCTATTAACTAATTCAGATGCATTTGTTCCCCAAATTTACTTTCAGTTATCACAATGTAAGCAAAGGGCCTCAAATCTCTATTAGGGGAGATTAGTGAAATTTTTAAAACTTTGAGAGGTGTCAGTGCAAGTGTTAGAAACCTCAGAGGAGGTTTGTGAAATTATCCCTTTATTAATGGCGGTTCTCCCATGAAGGAGCCTACAAAAATGCGAGTCCAGCGTCGTATTTCCTATAAAAACCTAATTCTGTTCCTATAAAAGTTAATTCTTTTTCAAACTAGTAGTATTTTTTTTTTTTCAGTGCAAATCCTGTGCCCAAAACTATGCTTTAAAATCTGAAATTGTTACAGTCACCATCTCCCTGGAAAGATCGATCTTTAGCGCCCCTTCCTCGTTAATAAAAAAAAGGCCAAATTTCCTAACCATGGACCAGCGTCTACCAGCACGATACAGTACGTCAAATACACTGAAGCTATGAGACACGTATCTCTGCCACGCCACGCTATTCTTCATATTTAAGCACACAAAGAAATACGCTACGAACATCTTTTTCTCTTTTTTTTATTTCCCTTAAAAACAGCAGCATAGATTCTCCGGATAATATCTTGTCGGTGCCAATTATGGATATTGATCCTCGGCAATACGAGAATGTCGTAAGCTCCGCTTGTTTTCCTCAATCTGGGTTTATCCTATTTCTCTCGATTTTTTTTTTAAATTTTTTGAATTTGTCATTGATGTTGACTTTCTGAACGAACTCGAATGAGCAAGGGTTTGCCAGTTTTGATTTTAATTGGGGTTTTGGAAATTAATTGTGGGTTTTTTCCTCGGAGCCCAGCAAAAGTATAACAAAGAAAATTATAAGGTACGAGGGTTTTGGAGAACTACATGTTTGTCTTTGGGAAAATTTGTGTCATGCAATGTTCAGCAGCAAGTTGAATTTTTTAAAAAAGATGGTTTTCTTCTCTTCTTCTTCTTCTTCTTGTTTTCTATCGTATTAATCGAGGGAGACCGGAGGGAGTAGACGTGGTTAGTTACTGGAAGTTCAGTCTGGAATAAGAATCACTGTACATTGTTGAATTGGATTTTTGGTAAACTGATTGTTTTTTTAGTATTTAAACTGTTTAATCATTGATTGAAGTAAAAGAAAAAAAGGATAAATTGTGCAAAGGGAAATTGGACCATTTTGGCTTTTAGCTTTTGCTCCCATGGTCAGGTGAGGAATATACTGATATCGTCTTTGTTTGACATGATCAGTTGTAACTCTTCATTATACCTGTCTCGTTGTGGAGTTTTGGATATTGTTATAGTAAAGTGATGCTTTTGACATACACTTGGACAGAAGATAGAGAAGTTCAAAGGCATGTACTTTCTCAATTGTGATACATTTCAATGTTGATAGGAAAATCTACCAAAAAAAAAAAAAAAGGGAATGCGGTAGGAATTAAACTCAGTTAACTACTAATTTATGCACTTCAGGCTTGAAACTTGCTCAAACTGCTAATAGTTAAATGGCCTTCTTGTGATGCATTACTTTTTGGAATTTATTTTTGCCTATGTTCTTGTTATCTGTCTGTAATTTTAGTCTTTTGCATTAACATCTTAACTATCCATGACTTCATGTTTATCTTGGATGAAACATACCTCTGGAGGCACTCTTCAGTTTGACCTGTTGGCCTTAATCGTCCCAAAGTCTTCTGAGCAGTGTTGATCCCATAGATGTTAATCCCGTACACAATAAAGATCAAAATAGAGTCCTGTTGCTCGTTTATTGAAAAAACTCTATGACGCTCTTCAACTTCAATTTTGCATGCCTTTTTGACAGGTTATTAATGACAGTGATATCCACAACATTGTCCTGTCATATCTTGTCCACAATTGCTTCAAAGACACTGTGGAATCTTTTACTTCCTCAACTACAATGAGGCAGTCAGTTGATCATCTCGAGGACATGGAGAAAAGAAAAAGTAGGTGTTTATCTTTAATTACCGATATATAGAGTAATATTTGTGAAATGAGATCTATGATTCTTAATCGTCTCAAATTTGAAAGCTTGTGGTAAATCTGTTAAACCTGATGTTCTGAATTGGCATATTTTGGATATGTATCCTGATAATATTTTTCATGTGTCATCTTCTCTAATAGTTTTTATTTGGCATGATAATATTTTTCGTGTGTCATCTTCTCTAATAATGTATGAGGTGGCTAATAAGTTTGAGGTATCAAATAGTAATCAGTTCTGGACCTACTGTCAAAGTTAATATTTGTTGGTGACTTGCTTTCCCTTTGAAGAACTGGTGGTCAGAAGCTGATGTTGGAGGATACATGGTGGATTGTAGTTCTTTGAATGGTGTAAGAAGTTAGATTAGAGTTCTACAAGCCAGCTTTTGTGCAGTTTTCTTGAGTGCATTGAGTCTTGATTATGATTTTGCTGTATCATATTTATTGCAGTTTCCCACATCTTTATATGGCATAGTTAAGTGACGATGTTGCAAATTTTTTGCTCAGAAATATTTCATTCTGCATTAGAGGGGAATGCTTTGGAGGCCATTGAGTTGACTGGACAGATTGCACCTGACTTATTGGAGAAAAATAAGGACTTACATTTTGATCTTTTAAGCCTTCATTTTGTTGAACTTGTGTGCTCAAGGAAATGGTGAGCAAAGTTGCATGGTCTTTTCTGACTTGCGTTGTGTCTGATCATCTTCTTGGCTAAACTTCTATTTCTATGGCAGCACAGAAGCGCTTGGATTTGCTCAATCAGAGTTGACTCCTTTTGGGAAGGTGCAGAAACACCTGAAAAAACTTGAGGTATGTTCATAAGCTAGCTGAGTTATCTTCAAATTTGCCTTTCAATTGCCAGCTTGCTTTCAGGTTACAAACTGATTGTTGATTCAGGATTTTATTGCTCTACTGGCATATGAAGAGCCAGAGAAATCCCCAA